TTTTTTGAGCCTTAATTTTCTCACTTGAAAATAATGAATAATAGTAGCTCTTACCTTATAGTATTGCTTTAGGGTATTAAATCACATAATGCATGTAAATGCATGCTTAACACAGTGTCTGTTACATAAATTCCAGTAAATGTTAGTTGTCAGTATGTTTTCGATGGTAAAAAAAACAATTTCCATGTAAAAGAAGAAACATATTTGCTCTTTATAGTTTTTTAGAAGTATAAGTTCAATAATTAATGATGATGATAATAATAATAATAACTTGACTTATCAGGATAAAAAGGCAAAAAGTAGGACCAAAAGATAAAGAACAGATTTGAAAGAAAATAGGCTAATGATAGACTTAAATCCAATGGCATCAGTAATTACATTAAATATTAATGAGTAAATGCTCCAGTTACAGACAGATTATCAGACCGAAAAAACAGAAAGAATCAACTATATGTTTATAAGAAATATACTTTAAATATAAGAAAACAAACAGGTAGAATGTAAAAGGATGAGTTCTAAATAACTCATGACTCGAAGTCATCATAGGGTTTAAAAATGTTTTGAAATAAATGACAATGAAAATATAACCCATCAAATCCCTACAGCCAAAGCAGCGATTCGAGGGAAAGTTATAACTTTAATACATACATTAGTAAAGAAGAAAGTTCTAAAATTGATGATCTAAACTTCCAACTCAGGAAGCTAGCAAACGATGAGCAAATTAAGCCCATAGAAAAAAACAAATAATAAAGAGGAGAAATTGAAACAAAAAAATAGCAAAGTCAAAAGTTAACTGCTTGAAAAGATTAAAAATCTGATAAGCTGTTTGCAAAATTGACTAAATAGGCAATAAAACACATATTACCCATACTAGAGATAAAAAAGCCATCATTATATGAACTATACATATTAAAAGGATAATGTAGAAATGTTATAAATAACTATATGCCAATAAATTTGACAACATAGATAAAATTAATAAATCCCTTGAAAATCACTTCCTGAAACAGACACAAAAAAGAAATAGAAAATGTAATGGTATTATATATGTTAATATTCATTTCAGAGGAGTTAAGCAGGATTAATGTGCTTGTTCTTTTGTTTTGATAAATATTTCAAACATCTAAACCAACTGCTTTAGATTGTGTTGAGTTCCATATCGACATAAATATTCAGGGAGAATTTAGACAAGCAACCTCTA